CCCACATTACTTTATTGGCACATAAAAGTAGTTCCTCTAAGTTAATGGAAAATGACACGGAAATGACAAGTTTCCAATCTAATATTTTCTGTAGAGAGAAAGAACCTAGAAAGATTAAGACAGATAGAGAAAGAATAAGACAGTCTCTGCTTTATTTAGCTCTGCAGAGATTAAGAAATGCCGAAAGGTCTTAATCTCGATGAAGAAAAAATCCGAATCTGCACCTTTACGTGGTAGAAAGTGGGCAACATCAATGGTGATGGCTCACGCAGATAGGAACCGAGTGATTGCCGGTATAAGCAATCCCTGCTTACCGACCAACGGCTTCAGGCAGATGAGTCGGTAGATAGTAGGACACTCTTTAGTCCTGAAGCTGAGAAATAGACTCTAAAGGCGGAGGAACCAATAAATTGGTCAACGGCAGAAGAATGCAAAAAGGCAATGGGAAACCACTGCATTAAAGGTTCCACAGAACATCCCTAGTCATTCATTATGGCAAATATGCAAAAAAAATCAAATCGTTACTGATCATAAAATCCGGAAACCAAGATCCGGCAGGGAAGGAAAAGATCATGTAAAAGACGAGGCCTTCCAGGTCGCTAGTAAGCAAAATCCTTGTTTGGATAATAAAACGCCACGTCTAAGAAGACACAAATGAAGACCAATAAATCTTGCAACATGGAATGTAAGAAGCTTGTACCAGCCAGAAAATTAGACAATTTATTACAAGAAATGACCAGACTAGAAATAAATATACTGGGCATAAGTGACGTACATGGACCAGACATCGGCAAACTTATAACCAATAACGGCATGATGTATTATGCTGAAAACAACGATCTAGACCTTAGAAAATGACATATAGGTATTAAAATTCATTGATCCGAATAGATCAAGAACCACTTTACCTCGCTCCAATCTTTCAAACCATCCTCTACCCTTCGACAGCATGCTAATGCGCTATAGGGACCACAAATGTCAAAATACTTTTCATATGAAAGTATTGGCTACAAAAACAAGAACTCCCATGTGAAATACTTATTCCCTTTGGGCTGGAGAGCGTAAGGCGATATAATCCTGCCATCATCTTAATTGATCCCAGCTCCAAACTGGATCCAGTTCAGTACTCAAGAGTTTGGATATCTCTGTCGTGGTGTTTCTATTTTTGGTATTAGTAATTTTTTTTGTTGGTTATGCCGATGTGTTTGTTGTTATTTTCTTTATCGGCCGGAGCCGATTTTTATTTGCATTTATATTGTTTTGAAGGGTTATATCTAAATCTATTTATCTTACTGATCTCTGACTCTGGTTAAAGTGTTTATCTTCCTGCCACTTGTACTTCATGGACTCTTCAGATAGAGCTACCTAGTTATTTTGACATCTTACTATGTGTTTAAGAATTTGCTATTATTTGTTATTTTGGTCTCTTGTGATTTTTCATCCATGTAAAACATTATAATTTATTTATTCCCGCAGGATTTGGTTGGGTGATTATAAAGCTTAGCGAATTTTTTCTTAGTTTTTTGGTCCATTATCTCCAGTACTCCTACTTGCTTCAGGTCTTTGAACAGCTACATATCTGGAACTTTCTCTATTTCTTGGAATCATTAGATGTGGGCTGTTTATATCTTTTTTCTGTTTGTTTTGCACGTATGCCCCCATGAAAGCGATGCATATGTGATTATATGTAATATCATGCTATTTATTAATCTGATTGTTTTGTTGATAATTTGCTTTTGCTTTCTGTGATTATGCATAAAAATAAAATGAAGTGTACGCTCCTTTTTTTTTTCGAAATAAAAATTAAAAACGTGTCTGAAAATGTGTATGTATTATTTCAACATGTACTTCACCTGTTTTGAGATAACCAATTCAACAATATCTTACATAATTATAAATTCTGTCATACTTCATATTTATATTCAGGTTCGTGCTCGTTGCCCATTAATACACCTTATCAAAGGCCACAAAAAAACATTAATTATCTATTCTACTGTATATACAACCTAAGAGCAAAAAAACTAGATTACTGCGGTAAAATATTTCTGTTCTTTGTGCGCAATAACTGCCGCAAGTAAGTCATTATCTCATCTTCGTTTATGCATTAACACTTTTCGCAGAATAAGGAATGAAACTTGTTTGATCAGCGAGCTCATTATGCAAATATGATTTAAATTTTAAAAAGAAGTAACATTAGTGTATATCTCTAAACTATGATTAGTTTTATATTTAAACATTAAAGTTAATGCAGCAATTTAAATTTGATATTTTTTGTATTTTTTCCATATGTTTATATATAATTTTCATCTGTTATTAAGTGTATCGGAATAGATGCCAAATATATTCGTGTCATTAAAAATTTGTACTGAAATCAAACTGCTATCAAACTGAAATCAACTGGGAACTACTTAATGTGATTAGATTTGCAGAAGATATAGTGATTCTGTCAGATAACACTGAAGGTCTCCAAATTCTGCATGATCGTATTCACGAGGTAGGAGAGAAAATTGACATTAACGTAAACTCAAACAAAACCAAATTTTTAGTGTTTAGTCGTGACTCACATGCCGATGCAAAGCTTTAATTAAACTGAGTCCAAGTTGAGAAAGTTCACAAAATGACATTATGGGAACTGTAATAACGGACTAACTAGATCCACACATAGAAATAAAACGTATAAGAACTACCAAGAAACAAAGACTTTCAATAAGAAATGACTCCTATCTGCCATGCGACAGGGTCTTCGGCTTTGTAAAACGAAACCTAAGGAACCATGATAGATTGAACGCTATAAAAGATAAATCAGAAATAATACTTACATTTACAAAACAGAAGAAGTTTACTGTGGATATAGTAGAACATGCAGATGTTTTGGACTTTCAAATTTAGTGGTCCAAATTTTACAAGAAGAATACTGTTTCAGAAGAGAGTAACATTGTGAAAAACAAAAAAAAAAGTAAATGTTTACATTTCTTCCTACCACAAATTTATTTGCGAAAGTTTTAAAAAAGAAGTGGTTGTTGTATCTGATTTTATAGGTGGATTTCTCAAGAAAACTTTAAAATTATTATCTAACCCAATGTGTGTTGCTTCATTTCCCCCTTTTTCTTTAGCAAGAAAAATATGACAAAAATACCAATTTATCAAGAAAAAATTAATGACCTGAAGAAACTTTTGCAGTAGGTCCCTCAAGAACATGAGTGGTTTTATAATGAGCTTGGCCAATGGCCTACAGTTACAAGCAAAAATGTACAAAATGGCAATTTTAGATAATTGTATTTGCGTAGTACTGTTTTAAAAGCACACTTTATCATGTCCGGACATATCATTCATAAAATTTCGGCCAAGTATGGGGCTACGTCGGTTTCATCTTTGTTGGCGAGCCACAAATCCTCGAGGGTACATCGACGAGGACAGATTCTGCATGTAACAAGATGTTCCATCTTTTGTGTTTCGCCACATTCACAATTCATAGCATCTCTGTTTATTTTTCTCCATTTTTCCATGTTTGATTTAACTGGAGCGACCCCCGTTCTTATTCTATACATAATTTTCCACGATTTAAAGTCTAGAGACTGGCCGGTTCATTGAACCTGGGGAAGGGAAAATATTTACATCCTGCACTGTTCCAAGGAAGCTTTTACTGGATTTTAGTCGCTTTCGGGGTGTTTGAGCTTTGTATAGGGCATTCTGCTCGTCTGCAATCTGTTAAGGGTTCGCTCGTTGTTGCCGGTTCAACGCCTCTGCCTCTTGAGGGTTCTGCAAAATCCTCTGACGAATTATATAGACTTGAGATTGACGTTGATTTCATGCACCTTGTTACTATTCTGTATGTCTCTTTTAACGCAGTATCAACTTCTTTGGTGTGAAAAGATCTGCCCCAAACGGGGAACGCATATTCAGCAGTTACGAAACTCAGTGCAGATACCGTTATTCTTAAAACACCAAGACGTGCACCCCATTTACTTCCCGTTAGCTTTCTGAGTACGCTGTTCCTAGATGTTACTTTTCCTCTCGTTTTTATGCATTATTGTTTGTTGGTGAGGGACCAGTCCAGTGTTACTCCAAGATATATAGGTTGGTTTGTGTATTCTAATGTATTACCCTTCCACGTAATTTGGAGTTTTCGCTTGGCTTCCTTTGCGCAAAGTTGGAAAGCGTAGACTTGGGTTTTACAGGGATCGGGTCTTAGGAAATTCTACAGGTAGTACATTGTCATTGTTTTCAAAGCAGTTTCGAGTTTGGCCTTCACTTCTTTAAAAACTACTTCCTTGAGCACCTATTGCAAGATCTTCAGCATAAAGGACGTGCTTGGTTTCAGTCGGCGTAGGTTGGTCGTTTGTGTAAATATTGAAGAGCATTGGTGCTAAAACACTTCGCTGTGCAAGGCCATTTTTTGAACTCTCTACATACTTACTTTACCCTCCAGCATAACGAACAAACGTCTGTTTTGCACTAAGGAATATACGACCTTACCCAGTTGGTGGTCATTGAGTATCGTCTAATTTGCGGAGCAATGTTTTGTGCCTTACTATTTTATGGCAATTGCTTTACCGGGTAATAATCTCTTTGGACAGCAAACTGAACAATTGTTAATTTGGTGGCATCTAAAAACATTAAAATAGTTGCCTAATTCACTTAATCTTTGCTTGGTAGCATGGTCTCTGGAATCAATAATCCATCTGTTGCTATTCAACAACGCAGCAGGCCCCAAAAAATCGTTAGGCGCTTTAGAATGCCCATGCCACCAATATTCGGGGCACGATGTAGAACAACAAGCACAAAGAATACATTCAACCAGACCTAGCATATCTTGTCTGTCTTTAACGCTTTGGCTAAATTGCACGTTTTTTTCTTCAGGTGGATGTCTTATTAAATACAGTTTTATTCAATTATGCTACTCAATGAATTTATTTAAATCTACCAGTAAGTCTTTAATTACATACATATGAGGAAGGGGATAAACTTTTGTTACACCTCTGGGATTGATTTTTTTAAACATGCCGTCCATTGACACCATCACCATCGATCTTAACGATTGCAGACCGACTGTACTGGATGCTCTTAATAAAATGAAGACTGAACAGGACCCATCTTTAACTTTTAGAAAATCCTGCAGAGAAGGAATTTGCGGTTCTTGTGGAATGAATATTAATGGTGTCAATGGACTGGCATATTTAAAAAAAATCAATCCCAGAGGTGTAACAAAAGTTTATCCCCTTCCTCATATGTATGTAATTAAAGACTTACTGGTCGATTTTAATCAATTTATTGAGCAGCATAATCGAATAAAACCGTATTTAATAAGATATCCACCTGAAGAAAAAAACATGCAATTTAGCCAAAGCGTTAAAGACAGACAAGATATGCTAGGTCTGGTTGAATATATTCTTTGTGCTTGTTGTTCTACATCGTGTCCCGAATATTGGTGGCATGGGCATTCTAAAGCGCCTAACGATTTTTTGGGGCCTGCTGCATTGTTGAATAGCTACAGATGGATTGTTGATTCCAGAGGCCATGCTACCAAGCAAAGATTAAGTGAATTAGACAACTATTTTAATGTTTTTAGATGCCACCAAATTAACAATTGTTCAGTTTACTGTTTTATAGACTGCTGTCAAATCTATGAAAGCAGCTCATGTTATAAGTTTTTTTTCAAAGCCCTCCTCAATGTATTTTGTTAGTGCGAGGATTGATCGGTGCAAGATTTGCCGGGTCTGAATCCTTCTTGTTGTGTGTGCTTGTCGACGTGTTTTTCTACCCTGTTGAGTATGAGTCTCTCGTATAGTTTGAAAAACTGACACAACAGCGAAATAGGTCTGTAATAACTGGGATTTTCTGGGTCCTTTCCTGGTTTTAACAAGGCTATTACTTTAGATTCCCTGCATGATTTTGACGTTTATTGACGTTTCAATTTCTACTTCGGAAATCGTTCTTAAAATACAAACAGTACATTAAACAAATTTTGTTTTTTGTTACATAGTGAAAAAATTCTTCTAATAATTTAATTTTATCTGACTCATTTATATTGACAATTCAGACATACATTATACATTTTAAAGTAGACGACTTTAAAATGATATTGCCAATATTGTTGAGTTGCGCTCCTGGGACGACTTTCCTTATAAGATAGTTCATTCGATTACATGAAATCAACTTTAACTTGAGAATATCCGTCAGAAAAAAAATCATAGCATGTAATTCGTCTTTAAAAAGACAAACACATGACATGATGACAGTAAAATTCTCCTGTTAGTGATTCCATAGTAAATTATGAGAGAAAAACCAAGAAAAAAAACCCTCATAATACTATCTCGACATTGTAAGTATTTGTTCGTGAATTTAGTTTACCTTCAACAAACATCAAAATTCTGATTTTATATGTTACGTTATTTAAAAAACATAAATGATGTATCCTCTATATGTTACTGACTTACTAATACTGGTATTTTCTTATTAATAACTTCCTCTTTCAATATTGGTAACCAGATCCTACTACATTCTGCCGAGGAATTTGCGACACAATTGGCCTCATTTAGCATAATTAGAGCCGCTTCTTTGATTTTTCTTTTTTTTACCATCCGTTTCTTTTAGGACTACATTTAAATTATTCCATTGAACCCTATGTTCATTATCCCATGCGTGTTTACATATTTGAGATCTATCAAATTCTCTATTTTTAATATAAGATTGATGTTTACTTATTCTAACATTTAATGGCCTTGATGATTCATCTAAATAAAACTGATCGCATTCACAAGGTATTTTATAAATGCAATTCTTTGTCCTTTCTTGTTCATTGTTAGGTTTGGTTTTGGACAAAATAGATCTCAACGTTTTTGTTGTTTTGAATGTTGTTGAAATGTTGAATTTATTTCCTATCCTTTTAAGTTTTTCTGATAATCCTTTTATGTACGGTATTGTTATTTTCCTCATATTATTCCTTGTGTATGCTGTAGTAAGTATCAGTATTAGTAAGTCAGTAACATATAGAGGATAAATCATTTATGTTTTTTAAATAACGTAACATATAAAATCAGAATTTTGATGTTTGTTGAAGGTAAACTAAATTCACGAACAAATACTTACAATGTCGGAATAATATTATGAGGTTTTTTTTCCTGGGTTTTCCCTCATAATTTACTATGGAATCACTAACAGGAGAATTTTACTGTCATCATGTCATGTGTTTGTCTTTTTAAAGACGAATTACATGCTATGATTTTTTTCTGACGGATATTTTCAAGTTAAAGTTGATTTCATGTAATCGAATGAACTATCTTATAAGTAAAGCCGTCCCAGGCGCGCAACTCAACAATATTGGCAATATCATTTTAAAGTTGTCTACTTTAAAATGTATAATGTATGTCTGAATTGTCAATATAAATGAGTCAGATAAAATTAAATTATTAGAAGAATTTTTCACTAAGTAACAAAAAAACAAAATTTGTTTAATTTACTGTTTGTATTTTGAGAACGATTTCCGAATTGGAAATTGAAACGTCAATAAACGTATTTTTATCTTTAATTGTGGCTTATTCCCAGTTAAATAGTAATTAATTTGCTATTAGATTGCTAAATCATCTATTATATGTTTAAAAATTAACAACCTACTTAATTTCTAAATAATAATCACATTTTTTAAGAAGTTTTATCAGGCATGATATTTTGTAAGGTTAGTTTTCCTATTCTAGTCTATAAGAGTATATAACAAAACCAAATCGATTGTATTAACTTTCAGATACATATCGTGCTCATTTTCAATATGCGTGTTGTCGTTCCGTAATCTCCTCAAACAATCTGAGAACCTTCTGGGCTCGAAGCAATTTTCCTCTTCTTTTTTCGAAACAACTCTTTCGTGAAATTGTCATTTATTCTTAACTTCCGCCGGTCTGGTGAATCGACAAAAAATTTACTTGCGAGAAAAATATAATTTTACTACCTGATTGCTACCATAGAACAGGAAATATCATTGAGGACGATTATCTTTGATTTGCTGCATGCAAATGTAATTTTACTGGGTTTATTGGTATGCTTAAGTCGTTTTGTTAATTTTTGCCCTGATGTACCAATTATTTTCTTATTGGGAAAAGTAAAGCAAAAGAGTTATTTAAACGTGATTTATTACGAATATTAGAATTGTAGCCCAATAGTTATCGGTAACATGAACTAAAATCCATAAGTATACCTCAATAATAAATAAAGCAGGTACCTACTCTATCTTATTCAAGTGCTGTTCCACGCCGTTAGAGAAGTCCCACGCAAAAAAGGGAACAAGAAAATTAAAAATAAGGCCCAAAAACTGATACAAAAAACCTTATGTTAGGGACAGCATAAATTTTAAACATTTCCTTGCCATAAAGTGAAAAAATAATGAAAAAAACAAAAAAAAATATTTAAAACTTTATTTAGAAACAACAAAGTACTATAAAAACATATATAAACTAAAAAATTAAATTGTGGACACAAACTACAGTGTTCAAATTTTCTAAGCAATCTTTGCAGCATGCCATTATGTGGTCCATACATAGCCAGGCTTTGCAAATTTTGCAAAAAAGCAAGTTTTGCGTCTTTTGTAATATTAACAATTTCCTCTCTTACCTGGCTGGGGCTCTGGTACAACGTCGACTTCAGTGCCTGAGATTTTAAGGCCGAAGCACACACAGCTTTTGTTAAATGCGTGTCAACTGCTCTCCGTCGTATACTCTCGTGTACCAATTCCATACCAGGTTTTTTTGGAATAATCTTCGTGTTTTGGAAAATTCTCCACCTGGGTTGTTGCTTTCTAAATTACAAATGCGTTAATTGCTGCGAGATTAAGGAGATTATAAACTACTACCATTGGCCAACGTTTCGTATTGCTGGAAACATTTGTCTACAACATCTCCTCCACTCTTTTTGGAATTATAAACAGTAATTTTATGGAATTATAAACAGTAATTTATAAACAGTATGTAAAATACAAAAAGGTGTCAGACAGGGTTGTATACTATACCCACTGTTAATTAATTTATATTCAGATAGAATATTTAAAGAAGCGCTGCATAATTTGGAATGGGGCGTGAAAGTTAATGGAATTCCGATAAATACAAACAGATATGCAGACGATACAGTTATTTTAAGTGATGACATGAATGGACTACAATGTCTTTTAAATGCCATTGATACAGTGGGAAGAGACTTTGGCCTAAACATAAACTGTTCAAAAACAAAACACATGGTATTTAGCCGTTTAGCACATCAATATGCACGATTATATGTTGATGGTCATATAATTCAAAGAGTGTCCAGTTTTAATTATCTTGGTTGCCATATTACTGAAAAACTAGATCCAGATCAAGAAATAAAATGTAGAATCGAGATAGCCCGCACGACATTTTTAAAAATGAGGTCATTCTTCTGTAATGATAACTTGCAACTTCAACTTCGAAAGCGCATGGTTAAATGCTACATTTGATCAGTCCTCTTATACGGTGTCAAAGCATGGACATTAAAAATATCCACCATTAATTGTGTGGACATTCCACACAAAATGCATTGATTGAAGCGACAACTTTTATTTAACAATCAATTAACGAAAAAAGACACGTCATAGGCATATTCCTAGACGTCCAGAAAGCATTCGAATAGGTCTGGTACACAGACCTAATCGAAAAATCTTGCTGGACAACTTTTGTTAAATTAATAAATTTCCGACTATCCGACTATCCGGATCAAAGTTAACAATACATTATCTTCACAATTCACCCCACAAGCTGAAGTACTCCAGGGCTCAATCTTGCTCCAACAATATACACAATCTACAACAGTGGCATCCCCAGCCCTCCATATAGATTGGAATTCCTACTACTGTACTGACACTGCGCTTCTCACGTCAGGCCCACATAGAATGCGTGGATAAATGTATGTATTCGAAAGAGCTCAAAACTGCCTAAACAGAGTTATTAGGTGGTGCAATAGATAGAGAGTGACTATTAACGCCTCCAAAACTCAATTAATATTATTTATCTCCCCACTGCCTGATGTTCAGGACCGGATAACCTTGATAGAAGGAGACCTTAATCTCAGAAATTCGGTTTTTTATTTGCTAGTTTATTTTAGCAAGACTCTCATCTGGAAAATAGATATGCAAAACACCCCAGACAGGCCAAAAGGCCAATTAAGAACCGTTTCTAGTATGGCCAGTAACACATTGAAGTGCCTCACCTTGGCTTCTTTGAGTTACCAACAATTCCTCTTGTGCTCTTCTTATCAGCATATATCACCTTCTGAACCCCAGCTCTTAAGCACTTCACCACTATAACACCACACACATATCACCCTTACGTTTACCACCACAAAAAAGGAGCACTATTTCCTTTAAGAGGCAGAAGCCTAAACAAGGTAAAAACATGGATTGATTGATTGATTGAAATCTAGTATAACAAACCATTAACATTTTTTTAGTAATGTGCAAAATAAGCTAAAAAAGCATTTTGC